GAATACACAGTGTACATGAGTTTTAGTACATTTAAATACCTCTCATTCAGTCTTCAATCTATTCATGTTCTTTTTTTTCTACATGTACCAGTACCTGTAGATGTATCAACACAACTTAGGGATGTAAAAATCAGAGTACAATCAAAAAAAGACATTACATGTAATAATCAACCTCAAGGAAGAAGTTAGAAACAGCTACTAGAGGGAAAAGAACATGATGTTGGGAAGTACATGTGTATTTGTGAGAAAAGTCATTCATTCTTCCTCATGTACATGTATGCTTGAAATTAAATGGCCTACTGCTGGAAATAATTCATGAAAGGCGTAAAAATGAGGTGTAAAAATAAGGAAAATTGATTGGAGCATCAGAAGACTGACATGTGGAATAGTAGTAGGCCTAGGGTATACATTTACATGTAGACAAAGGTTGCAACACAAAGACCTAGTGGCTATGAATCAGCCTAATCTGAAAGTTATTGGTTTACTAAAGAGCTCCACTATTACAGACTATTCAGTGGACACAAAGAACATTTTACAGCATGGGCAGATAGTTCTAGAATCAAGCCTGGTTTCATCCACTACTCAACCAGCCATGTAGCCAATCAAATGTAAACAAGAGCAGCAGAGACAGCTTACAGGCTGTCAAAAGAAATATTATTGTTCACAGGTCAGATGGCTGGAGTTATATTTATTATGCAAATCTTTCCCTGCTCACACAGTATGGTGCTGTGCACATACAGGTACATGCATGTGACAGCCATGTTCAGTGGAAGCTGTTTATATCCAATGAAATCAATGGTGATCTCCGCCATGTAAATTTGGTAGCATTAAAAGTGCATGCAGCACACACTGTACCATGGCCCTGGTTTTGTGTTACACCATAGAGCAAAGACTGCATATTGCATTCATTCAAAGCTTTGAGTGTGCACACACAGTGTTCATACATGGATATTGTTGCCTTCCTGCAAATACCCAACACTGCTTTTGTAAATACAGAAAAACGTACAAGTAAAGGCCTGAACAAATATTCAAAAAAACAAGATATGCAGGGAATGACATTAAAAACCCCTGACATTGACAAGCCCATCTGTTGCATGTAAATGTATTTTGCAAATGATAGACTGGGTAATCAATACAAATGGACAATCTACATGTACTGTCGTTGTCTATCCATGCTTTTTTACACTGAAAAACAACAGCATGAAATTTCCCTCATGTTTAACTACAATTTTGTGTAACGGTATATTAGACATGCAGTATGTGGTGGTGACAACAGTCACTCTTTGTACAACAGAAAATAATTTTATACTGCAAGATACACTTTTACTGTACTTGCACAAATGTTTGGCAAAAAAGACTGAAGTTCAGAAGTTTTGTAAGAAGTACAAAACAAACTACATGTACACTATACCGCTACTTTATATGAGTGAGGTTATTCATCCATCATCATGATCATGGAAATCTAAATGTATAAGAGTTTTGTAAAGTAAAGCTTTATTTAAACTGGAGTAAACAGGCTGATTACAAAGGACAAATTCAGACAAGAATTGACTACACATGGTAAATGTACATGTACATGTCCCGGTACAGTAAACATACTGAACCCCACTAAATGGTGTTTTTCCTCTTCACACTGTACCGCTACGTACAATTTGTACACTGTAAGTATTTCTATAGATGTACAGCAGAACAATACATGTATGTATACATGTACATGCAAGTAATGACAACCAGTACATTTAAATTTGGTTCCTTTGTGAAAATCACATTTTGAGCAATTTTGATTCATTCTAGCTGAGATCCTGGAACACATTCCAATAATTACACCCTTCACTCAAATTTTGCCTGCAAGTATGGCGCCCTCACTTGTTTGAATCAGGATAATGCAGGCTACTTTGCCAACCCTAGATGAATGTGTACAAGTTTCCAACTTCTGCTCTAAGGCACCAAAAGATCTATAATAAAAGTAAATTGGCCCCAACTTTGATGTATACACCTGTAAAAGACTTAATTTTCAACGGTACAACTATATAAAGTGTTTTCATTTACTCTATCTTGCATTGAAAAAATGAAGAACTTTTGACTAATTACTGTAGCTACATGTACATGTAGGACAATCCACAAAATTGAAGAACGTACTGGCACCTGTGTACAGGTGCATATACGTATCTGCTCCAAACCACCAGTACAACTGGCAATTCTTGCAATCAACAATTACATTTATGCTTAAGTTTGTCCTTGACAAATTAATATCTGGTACACATCTGTGTTTCAGAAAATTAAACAAGCTCTTCAAAGTGCTACATCAGTAGCTCTAAGCAGACCTTCATGCCAATGTCAAATTTCATCATGTCAATTCCAACTCAGACCTCAGGAATCTATCAATAAATTTACATCCATGTCGTTCATTTGGTCAGTACATGTAAATTCGCACTTTGAATGCAACTCATTGTACATGTACATAGCGGCATTAATCAGTTCAAAATAAATTACCCATGCAGTGTTAATAACAAAGGCATGAACACACACCCAGCACAGTGTTTGCTTTGTCGTGAATTATCTTGCATAAATTACATATATTTGTTGGACAATACAGTGAAGCTAAAAATTGAACTCAAAAGCTTTTCACTAATTAGATCATACCAGTACGTACAGGGTATATTGTACATGTACGTGTACATGTAGGTTAACTTGTATTCCATTTCCATGTATGCTATCAGTCCTGTGATCATATTCTTGTACAGTGCATGTGATTTTTTTTTCATTTGTAAATGTACCGGTAATTCTACACTTTGTGTATCACCAGTTAATCAGTTGAACATCTTTGACAGCTGTTTACTTCACTGGCTTTTAATAAATTCCTACGAGAATTTTTCTTCTACAAAACAAAAGAGACAAATTTACATTTTACTTAACAAGAAAGACTGCAGGTTACAATTGTGCAGAACATGTAACATTAAAATGAGTTACTCTTTTCTGTCAAGAGAGAAACTCATCAAACGCTTTTTATTGAGTGAAAAATGAATATGACAACAGGATGATGTCTTTGTGAAAAAAGAAGAAATGTTTCTGTGTGAATTCTTGAAAAAAATAATAATGTGCTACATTTGATAGTTTGGATATGCACTCTGCAATATTTAGGAATGACTGTCAGAAAATTACGTACAAATTACATGCGCATTCTCTCAATGCTAAATATTTTTAACGGTATCGTCAGAAATGATACCAAACTAAATGCAGTCACAAAATCTGAGAGGCTGGATATACTGAAATAAATATTGCAACACTAAGATAAAAACATCTAAAATATTTGCAACTTTTATCAAGTTTTCATTTCAAACATTTGTCAGATCGAAGAGGTAATTATTTATCATGTTATAAACACCCCACAAAGTGAAAAGTGTTTCACCATATTTAACATCAGAACAGAAATTGATAAAAATTGATGAGGACGAGCTTTCAATCACTTCTAAAACTTGGGTCTTTATTCTGTGAAAGCACATTAATTAAAGTGTTATGACCTACCGATAAATTAAAAAAAACAATATAAAAAGTTAAAGCAAAGTAATCTACATTTTTGGGTATCAAGCAAAAATTATTTCATCATGTCCCATTTGCAATTAAAATCAGAAGAGAAATCTTCTGAGAACTTCGCTAACGAAAGGTGAGAAAAGTTTTGCTCATCCAAGTCAAATAACACAGAGAGCACTAACATTCCCCCTTACTCCTAAATCGACAGAAGGATCCACCACACTGGCCAAATCTGAATATTTCTCCGACGCCCCCGAGTAAAATGACCTTTCGTGTCTTAACTGCGGCGGTAATAAATTAGACCGATGCGATCGTGTTAATGGCAAGAAATGAACAAGAAAATACCAGTGATTGTTTTTCGGCAAAATTGGCCAGACAACCTACCGCCAGTCACCCACACACGCAGTGAGTACACTACACTGAACATGCGGTCATCAATCTGAACTGAAACTCCAGGAAAATAACACGAAACACCCCAAAAATATGCTGGCAAGACAGGGTCTTAAAAAGGATAATGGACGCGAAGTGCTGGTTTTGCAATGAAAAAAAAAAAGAACGAGAGATTTTTCATCAAACGCTTCACACGGAAGGTCAAACAAACGACGGGGAAAATGTGTCCAAAGTACCGAGGATGGCCAGTGCAATGCCCCCTAACTACACTCAACATACACGCTGAGACTTACCTACTACGATGTTGTATACAGCGACGGGTATAGCATGGATTTTAAGGAGGAAATGATCACAAGACGACCGGTAACAGCGGATAAGAAACAGCGACCATTTTTGTTTGCCCTTGTTGTTTCGTATAAATAGGTAAAAGGATAAATGAGGAGTCAATTTATGCATGGAGCGACTGGCAGCTGCGCGTAACATGATGGCTTCACTGCAGCCCAACGGCTAACATACAGTCAATTCATCGTTGCATCAAGCTTCAAATCGGGTCTAAAATCGCTCACATCTGACCCAAATCACAGTCAACCTATGCACACACATACACTACACATGCACACAGGGTAATCTAAACTACTGAAATCTGGGATTTTAGGGTGGAAAATCGGTCTAATTCCTGGGTAAAAAATGCATTGGCCTTGGCGAGATAGTTGCTTGCGGTCAGTCAACACGTTACACGGTTACTGCAAACCGGGGATTTCTGCCACGGAAAGTGTACAAATAAAATGCTCAAATTAGCACCAGATTGGGGCCAAATGGGGTCATACACCCCCACACAGTTACCCAAACACTGGCTGATATTCTGGTAATACTCCCGTGTACCAAAATGGAACCAACGACAGGAGATAGAGCAGGAAACGCCGATGATTTTGCGGCCACTACGGACAGGATCCATTTGGGGGCATTTTGAACAAAGTAAGAAAATCCGCACTCAGACGCTTGACACACAACAAAAAGAATTCGTTCATTTGAGCCCAAAATAGACCGCATTAAATGGAAGATAAGTGCGAAGAACTCACCCTATTTACTGCCCACGGTCCACCGAAGTCCTCTGCTGGCTTCAGCGATAATAATTCCAGAGAAAACAGCCGTAAAAATCCGTGAGAAGTGCGGCGTCTAGGGAATCCCAAAGAAACGAACATTTGAGGATTTGGAAGGTGAATTACGAGTAACGAGGGCCGAGTGCATGTGGTTTGTACAGCGTGACGTCACGGAATGCACCTTGTAAATGAAACAATGCGAATGTAAGACACTCGCGCAGAAAAAATCAGCTTGCAAGTCCGCACCGGGCCACAATTTTCACCCCCAAAACCGTATTAAAATAAATTTCATCGGATTTTGTGCCCCAGGGTTGTGACCGTGGATATATAGCTGTGTATCCTGACGGTGTTTGGTTGAGTTTGGAAACGTGGTTTTCGTATAATGGCCGTTTAAAAATTGGCTAGGTTCATAATTTTTGATCGAGTTAAAACGTGCATGCACACATCAATGTGTGAAGGGTACGTACATAGATCGTGCGTACATGTCAATGCTATTTTCATTGAGTGGTTTTTATCTCCGTTTCGCGGCAGCGATTACGTGAAAAGGTGCGGCTCGGGGCACTCTGAGAAATTCGCCGGGTTGGATTTTTCTAGTGTTTTCTGGCAAGGGATTCTAACGGCACTCAAACTACGTAACAGTTGAAAAGAACACTCAGTAAACGTGATCAGAAGTGGAAATGATACCTTTTTTGTGGAAAATGTGTGTAATCAATCAATTTGTGAACTCATGTAAATCTGCCAGTGTCAAGTTCAAACTTGATTTATACCTTTTTGTGTGAAGGCGGAGATTTTTTGACTCAGTAGGGGTACGTTTAACATTAAAGTTAAATTATTTCGATGATCTACCTGATCATAAATCTGATGTCATGTTTCTATTAGGCTTTTTCATGAAATCACCGAGAGGACCAGGAGGAGGATAGGCCCGGCGGGTGAGGTGGGGTGGTACTGATTTGGGGAGGGGGTGATGCATGGGTCGTTACTATGGGGGGGGGTCAAAGATAACAGTGAACTTCCAACATTTTCATTAGAAAATTTCCCACTGAAGTTTTTATCTGCTGTGACGAGCTGTCTGTGCATGATCCATGGACTCGATCCAGTGAATTCCGGGTGTCCAACAACTAGGTGAGCCGGATGTGGGAACTTGGGGCTGGATAACGAGTTAATGTACGTTTTAAAGTGACGTCACCGTTTGAGGACGGTATACTGGCAGTTCATGAATGTTTGCGACACAAACCCAGGGAACGCTTACAGTGCATTCGATCCCGAGCGTCCTGTAAGATTGAGTACTGACAGTTCGCCCCTGAAGGCTGATTTAAAGAGGAGAGTGAGGTTAGGGTAACGTAGTTTTGGGGTAGGAACACGTTACTGTAAACTAAAAATATATATTATAAAAAGAAATCGAACAGAGAGAGAGAAGAAAAATAATCAAATAAGTTGGCGAAAACCAGTCTGGACATATGTTAACTTTATTATATTTTGCGATTGGCAGGGGCACCGGGATTCACGGTAAAGGCACGGGACGTGGGATGGAGCTAGGCCCCCTCCCTGTGAGTGATGTCAAAGCCTTCTTTGGCAGCATACTGTAAGAAAATAAATGTACTGAAACGAAGGGTGGCAAAGTATGGTGGCGAACTTGTTGGAGCGCGCAGGTGCTGCGGATGTTACTTTAGTCATAACGAATGCAAAGTTGTTGGAAATGTTTAAAAAACAAGCGTTAAATAATAAAATACTACAAAATTTGTGAATACAAGTCATACGCATGTCTATACAGGATATTACAGTAGGGATTAAAATAATAATATTTAATTAGGAAATCTTTGAGGAATTTGCTTATATGTGCTTCCATTTGAAAAGAAACTTCATAGAAACATACTCAGTGTAAAAGTACATTAGAAAATGCTATTTTTGCAATAATCTCGTAACTAGAGGCTGGCTGACTTCGTATCCACATATCGGATTGTAACTTGGTGTGTGTTTGTCCCTTGGACAGATTATCTACTGCACAATGTAGTTTTCTTTCACATTTTGTGCTTCGTGTTGTACTGCTTAGCTTTCAAATGAAGTGAAAATACACGTCATTTACTTTTGTTTTAGAATCGAGTATGATCGTTATGATAGATCACATACTTAATATTTCACATCCTGTGTTTTGAATTTCGTTGGTAAGTCTTTGTTCTGCTGTGCATCAATCAATGTATATTTACTCGATCCCAAATAGGCCCCTGGGCTGCTAGCTAGCTTCACAATGTCTTCACTTTCCGAGTGGACGTGCGGTTCGTGCATATGGGGGAAATTCTTTTGTCTGAAAGGCCCGTTTCTGCCTTTGTGTGGCTCACTGATGTGCGGCTTCGCCAAATGCCCGGTAGAAACCATCATCCATGGGGCAACAGGGGTGCCTTATATAGTGCCCTAACATAAGTAGGCGCGATTTGAGAACAAAGACTACTCGGTTCGGGAAATGGCCACAATACGGATTTAAGTGAGCCTTCCCCGCTCGGATCGGCGAAAGCTATATGTACTGCGCAATGTGGTGTGCAGATGGCCACAAAAAGTAATTCATGTACGTTTCATCATTGCGTTTGCTTATTCTGAAGATCGACCCTGATTATTCAAGTGCTCGAACACGGTCAGAAACGCAAGCAGTGCGCATAATCATTTATCATCAGCAGATTATATATGGGGTGAATTAAATTAGTAAAATTAAGGGCGTGGATGAGCAAGGAGTGAAAAAAAATATGTGCAAGACATAACACATAACAATTTTAGAAAATAAGCTCATGTTTATCACAACTTAGTACCCATGATTTTCAGATATAATTAATATGAACAATTAGCAGGGGTTAAAAAGAAATAGAATTCCCAGTAATAAATATATGGGAAGAAAAGTCGCTGTTGTAAGTCGGACTTTTATACCTGGCCCAACCTATGTTTATCAACTTTAAATAGTGAACATCAAGCTAACAAGAGCAAAAATGACGTTTTAGTTGGTTGAAAAAAAAGATATTTCAAAAACCGTAGTGTAGTGATTATCAGTTAAATTACCTGTTATTTTTTGGAAAACAAAACCTTATTTTTTATTTTGAGCTCTTTGTGATTTTCAAGTCAAGTGCTAATTTTGAAAAGTGCTTTTTTAACTTTGCTTTTTTCCTTTTCTTTTCTCATTTTTGTTGTTGATATATTCGTAATTGCTGTTGACAGGTTTAAGTGTTGCATTTGTTTTCAGGAATTCTTCCACATATTTTTGCAACTGAAATTGCTATCTCCCATCAGTTTAACTAATGCAACCTCTGTGTATAAACGTAACGCGTGATCATGACTGTTTTTTTCTCGCAGCAGACTGAATCTCATGCTACCTTTTTAATGAATGCACCACCCGTTCTCGATTGCAACATCTTACGATTTCGGCACACATGGCCAGGGCAGATGATAACGATGAACAAATAAAAGCGCGCTGGAGCGGCCGGGTTTATGCAAGCCGAGCAAAAAGGGTTGCAAATTGATACCCGCCAACTGAGAAATATATAATTACGACGCAGAGACACGCAGTACAGTCATCTTCAGTGCACGTTACTGCGATACATCTATTTTAAATTACATTAAGCATATTACAGAATCTGTGTTTTACTTAAGAAGAGTACCATCAAATCTAGTGAAGTAATTTACGGCATATTTTTCTCTTCATCATTATTATAGCACTGCGTATATATGTCCCAAAATTTAAGTAAAATCCAGCACATCTGCTCTGTAACATATAATTATTCCTTTAGATATTCTACTTTCGTTTGGGAGTAACCTTCATATAATGTCGAATTCTGATCTAATTCCTGGTTATTACTGTTGTTAAATAGATAACTTCCTCCTAATTATTGTTTACAGGATATCTTCTAAAAAAGATTTTAAAAATTAAAAATCAACAAACACAGAGCTCAGTTACAAAACATCGTAACTCCTTTACGTTCGATAATAAAGCAAAACTGAATTACCTGCATTTTTGAGATTGAAAATAAGATTTGTTGGCAAATACATAAGGTATAATTTCTGCTTATGATTACTGAAAAGCTCTCTGTTAGTAAAATATAATGAATAAAATGAAAAAGGGCTATTAAGTACACTCCTCAAAATGTCGTGTGGTTTCCTAAAATATTTCAAAATGCTGACTATACCAGCGGCTTCATCAGTCTGAAATCACACTGTGTCTTCCTGAAATTGAACCATTTAACATTTGGTGGTAAGTTATGATACAAAAGTAAGCTGCAAAGGACTTTCTTGTTTAAACTGATATTTTTGCTTGATCAACAATCATAAAATGTTTTATCGTAAGGTTTGTATTTTTCAGTGATAGATTTCTGAATATAAATTAGTGCTTTTAAGTTTAGAAGGGAAATTTCCAAGTTAGCACTCCATCTTTGGCCGGAAATGACCAGAGTCATGGAAGTTTAAGCTCACTGGCTCAAAAGTTTATTATCCAAATCAATCACTGTTATTGCCTCTCTCGTGGGGGCGCTCTTGTGTAAACACTTTGGTTTTGACCTTCGAACGAATCACGCACTGTTGTATGACTGGTAATCAATCCCCCATGTTTATTTGTCACGTCAATGTGTTGAGGTGGGTACCAGTGGCCATGCGCCAGTCGATCGCGGTTGCAAAATGTTGGTCGTTGCTTGCCACTGTTAGTGTCAGTGCAAAGTTTTCGCATGTTAGGGGTGGTGTAAATGCAAATTTATGCTTTTTCAACAGGCCATGGACGTGTCAAGTTGTTGCAAAGTCGGTAGATCATGATGGAACATCACTGGGACAGCACAGAACAGATTTTCCACGATGCAATTAGGGAGTATTTGGTAAGACATCATTCTGTATCAGTGTACATGTATGTACAATACATGTCCATGTAGTCAGTCTTAACAGACAAATCGCCTTTTTTCATGGTTTTGGACGGTTGGGCGATAGTACTTTGTAGTATAGTAGTACTACTAGTACTCCTAGTGTGATGCCCGAGGGCATGGTCCATCTCACTTAATTCTCGAGCAAGTTCTACTGTTAAAACCTTGGCTAATGATAAGTAGGCCTAATTGCTGATTACCTGTACATAGCCGTAATCTACTGTAGCTCTAAAGAGCCGTAATTGATGTATGATTTATACCTACTGGTAGAGAGTCCACATGTCATGCATGTCATGAGCCGGTATCTACAGTATGCATTAGCCCAGGTGGACTCCCTGACTGTACTACGTTACAGAGGGAGTCCAGGGTATAACGGGTGACATGATCATGAGAGTCAAAAATGGCAATTAACAATCTCCTGGGCCTGAATTTAAAAACGAAAAATCACCTACTTTGAGGTTTTATAACTTCGACACAGTCTAGCTATCTGTCCATTGCTCTAAAATCCAACTTGTCCCTGCCAATTACCAATTCAGTCTGCATATTGTATGTTTAATTTATGAATTAAAAAAGGAAAGGCCGATCAATGGCACGATTTGTGCATGATTGCTACATGTACTTACCACACGTGCGCGCACGAGTACTGCCTCTGCATACTGTGTTCCCCATCAGTGTAGCATCGCTCTCACCTGTTCATCACGATCATCATGCCCGCAATGTAATCCTCTTTTTATTCCTCAATTATCAAGAAAAGTTACTGTTTCATTTTAATAAAAATCGGATCTCTACAGTATTGTGTATACATTTAACCAATAAAACTCTATGAACAAATTAATCATGTTAAACACTTCAAAGAGAGATCGTTGACGAACTTCTTCCCGTACAACTGCAAGAACCCTGCATATACAAAGCCTTCTACAGTAACCAAGGTTATTCTTATAACAAAAGCAGCTTGTGTCGCAAATTTATATTTAAAAACCGAAATCTAAAGGGGAAGAATTCCATATACGAAGTTCACTGTAATATCGGGTAATTACTACAAAAGCATCCTTACTTTGATCGTTGAATGAAGACGATTCCAATAGGCATTGAAGAGCTGAACATCATAGGACAGAAATGTGGAGTTTTGGGCACACTTTTGGAGCTACACATGGACCAGGTTTACATCGACAGGCGGCCATCTTTGCTTCTGAAGAACATGGCAAATGCGCACGACGTGTGCGCATGTACCGAATCATATCCGGAAAGAACCATTATGTAACAGGGGTTGAGCTGCCACAAGCATTGAGGTAATTTATGCATGAATCCGCAACACGAGGAGTGCAGAGGGCCGTCATCTGTCTGGAAGGATCTACACAGTTCACGAAACGCCGCGCAATGTGCCCTACTGTGCATGTACATGTACAATTTTTA